ACAGAATGCCCCGCCCCCTAATCTTCCCGCGGAGCTGGGCGGGAATGTTTGAATCCATCAGTAGCTTCACCTAACTTGATTCAAGCAGAAAATTAAAAAAAAATATCCAAAGCCTTCACAAAGTGCCTTAGGTACAGTGAGGCAGATCTATGTCGTCACAGTGTTAAGTACTGCGGGGAAGAAGTGTGAAGACAGGGGGGGGGGGGAAGGAGAAAGGGCTAGGAGACATTATAGATCAAGGGAAGATAAGCTTGTGAAAAGGAAAATGTGGTCAAACAAATTTTTTGAATGAAATCAACGAGATAATTTAAGCATTAGAACTCTGGCCACATAAAAAGTCTGGCCACATTAAAAGTCTGGCCTCATTGAAAGTCTGGCCACATTGAAAAAGGTGGTCTCCTTGCTAACACAAATCATTGCTAGCACCAATCATTTGATTGTTGTTAGACAATCATTTGATTGGGGGAAAAAATAAAAATAAAAACTTCAATGAATTAATCGTCATTAAAACTATATGCACACGACAAGCCAGTGGATCTGGCGTAATGTTGACCAATAAAAGTGTGTACACGCTGGTGTGTACACGCTGGTGGGTACACGCAAGGACGTGAACATTGAACAGCCACCATGTCAATCAAATGCTACGCTACACAGCTAGCCATTGGTCAACACCACCAAACATGAGCAACAACCAGAGTGACGACTACTTACGTTAGACCAAGTCTGGAATACAAACATCCTGAATCGCCAGACATGCGCACTGCATCACCGCCAGAAAAAAACTAGTAGCAGTAGAAAACTTTCCCCTCCCTCCCTACACACTGGCAACTTCTGCTCACGCCGCTGGCAGACGTGTTGAACGCGGGAAGACGCTTGCATAAATTATGATAAGCAGTTGAGAAAACTGCGTTGACCGTAGAATAAATCAAAACAGTTGCCTGTTGGTAGATGAAATCTTTTAGGAGAAAAAAAATCTTGCCAGCGACGGCATCAAACACGAGACCATTTTACAACAACCAGTGTTTGCACTGAACTTTAGAAGCTTGACCGAATTTTTTTCTCGCGAAAAAGTTTAAAAGGACGAAAATTTCTTTCGTCGGCTGATCTACCATGTTGGCCACCGAGAACCAAATGAAATGTTGGCCACCGAGAACCAAATGAAATGTTGGCCAGCGAGGGCCAAATGAAATGTTGGCCATCAAGAACCAAATGAAATGTTGGCCACCGAGAACCAAATGAACTGTTGGCCACCGAGAACCAAATGAAACGTTGGCCAGCGAGGACCAAATGAAATGTTGGCCACCGAGGGCCAAATGAAATGTTGGCCAGCGTGTCGAGGCTTGGAGTGCGAGCAGTCAGCCCAGCCAGGGTTTAAATATCCTTGTACATGGTGCTCTTGAAATGCCCATCTACCATTGGTTGCATATTTAATTAGCTCTTTAAAAAGCAGATCCGGCAAGGGGAAACGACTCTAAATACTTTATATTTTGTCCAAATGGCGCCTGTTTACAGGGGGGGGGGGGGGGGGGGGAGGAGAAGTAAAAGAAGTTTCTGGATGGGGGAGGGGGGGGGGGAAATCTAGCTAGCTGGGATGATGAAGTGTTAGCTCAAGTGGTTAGACAGTGTCACACGCTCACGTGACTCGGCCGTAAGGGGGAGGGAGTTGTGAGTTGTTTCTTTCGGGGGTGGGTAGGGGTGTAGTTTGCAACATTGACACGTCGCTCTATTGGGTCTTGTCATGACAGACCGTTATGACATGATATGACATGACAGGATATGACATAATATGACAGGATATGACATAATATGACAGGATATGACATGACAGGATATGACATGACAGGATATGACATGACAGGATATGACATGACAGGATATGACATGACAGGATATGACATGACAGGATATGACATGACAGGATATGACATGACAGGATATGACATGACAGGATATGACATGACAGGATATGACATGACAGGATATGACATGACAGGATATGACATGACAGGATATGACATGACAGGATATGACAGGATATGACATGACAGGATATGACATGACAGGATATGACATGACAGGATATGATATATTACATGACATGCAGAGCCTACTGTAAGCTGACAACACATCAACCACGTGTGTGTGTGTATCTAACGTGTGTGTGTGTGTGTGTGTATCAAACGTGTATGTGTGTCTGTGTGTATAAAACGTGTATGTGTGTGTGTATCACACGTGTATGTGTGTGTGTATCAAACGTGTATGTTTGTGTATCAAACATACGTGTGTGTGTCTTGTATCAAGTTTTTTCGCCAGTGGATTTCGCTTGAGCCTCGATTTGACTTGTGCATGACCATATATAGTCATAGGCGAGCTTAATGGGAAACATCCGGACCGGAGATTTGTAGATCTGTAGGTTTAGGTGTGTCTTTAGGTTTAGATGTGTCTTTAGGTTTAGATGTGTCTTTAGGTTAAGATGTGTCTATAGGTTTATTTGTGTCTATAGGTTTATTTGTGTCTATAGGTTTAGGTGTGTCTGTAGGTTTAGGTATAGGTTTAGATGTGTCTTTCAGATGAGCAGCGTCAAATCTCAGTTTAGCCCCCCCCCCCCCGCTACTTGGAGATTTGGTTGTTACATGCTGAAGACTATAATTGAGTCTGTGCGTCATGTCTTGAGTCAGTACGTCATGTAATGAGTCAGTGCGTATACTGCTCAGATGGGGATTTGTTTCCTATCCCTGCTGGCGCCCCACAAGTGTCGGCGCTAGGGGCGGTTGCCCCACACGCCATCCCCTACCCTCTGTATGTCAGTAGGTTTAAAACCTCTGTATGCCAGTAGGTTTAAACCTTTAGGTATAAGAGGCGGGGATAGTCGGTCCTTGTCACGTGGTACTAGTTAACTGGTGGTCACGTGGGGGTACGACAATCTATAAATAGTTGTCAGCATTGTACTATACCCCGGCTAATACAGACACTCCAAAGGCAGAGTGACGTCATTTCCTGACGTCATTTCCGCCATCTTCGTTGGTGGAGCTGTATGATGTTGGATGGATGAGTGAGTGGGTGAGTGAGTGAGTGAGTGGATGAGTGAGTGAGTGGATGGATGAGTGAGTGGATGAGTGGGTGAGTGGATGAGTGAGTGGGTGAGTGGATGAATGAGTGGATGAGTGAGTGAGTGGATGAGTGAGTGAGTGAGTGGGTGAGTGAGTGGATGAGTGAGTGGATGAGTCAGTGAGTGAGTGGGTGAGTGAGTGAGTGGGTGAGTGGGTGAGTGAGTGGATGAGTGAGTGAGTGAGTGGGTGAGTGAGTGGATGAGTCAGTGAGTGAGTGGGTGAGTGAGTGAGTGGATGAGTGAGTGAGTGGATGAGTGAGTGGATGAGTGAGTGAGTGAGTGGGTGAGTGAGTGAGTGAGTGAGTGGGTGAGTGGGTGAGTGAGTGAGTGAGTGAGTGAGTGAGTGGGTGAGTGAGTGAGTGGATGAGTGAGTGGATGAGTGAGTGAGTGAGTGGGTGAGTGAGTGAGTGGATGAGTGAGTGGATGAGTGAGTGAGTGAGTGGGTGAGTGAGTGAGTGGATGAGTGAGTGGATGAGTGAGTGGATGAGTGAGTGAGTGAGTGGGTGAGTGAGTGAGTGGATGAGTGAGTGGATGAGTGAGTGAATGAGTGAGTGGATGAGTGAGTGAGTGGATGAGTGAGTGGATGAGTGAGTGGATGAGTGAGTGAATGAGTGAGTGGGTGAGTGAGTGAGTGAGTGAGTGGGTGAGTGAGTGAGTGAGTGAGTGAGTGAGTGGGTGAGTGGGTGAGTGAGTGAGTGGATGAGTGAGTGGATGAGTGAGTGAGTGAGTGGGTGAGTGAGTGAGTGGATGAGTGAGTGGATGAGTGAGTGAGTGAGTGGGTGAGTGAGTGAGTGGATGAGTGAGTGGATGAGTGAGTGAGTGAGTGGGTGAGTGAGTGAGTGGATGAGTGAGTGGATGAGTGAGTGAGTGAGTGGGTGAGTGAGTGAGTGGATGAGTGAGTGGATGAGTGAGTGGATGAGTGAGTGAGTGAGTGGGTGAGTGAGTGAGTGGATGAGTGAGTGGATGAGTGAGTGAATGAGTGAGTGGATGAGTGAGTGAGTGGATGAGTGAGTGGATGAGTGAGTGGATGAGTGAGTGAATGAGTGAGTGGGTGAGTGAGTGAGTGAGTGAGTGAGTGGGTGAGTGAGTGAGTGAGTGAGTGAGTGGGTGAGTGAGTGAGTGAGTGAGTGAGTGGGTGAGTGAGTGAGTGGGTGAGTGAGTGGGTGAGTGAGTGGGTGGATCTAAATTAGATCCACTACATGTCTAAATTGACTCCACTCCATCTAAATTAGATCCACTACATGTCTAAATTGACTCCACTCCATCTAAATTTAATCCACTACATGTCTAAATTGACTCCACTCCATCTAAATTGCCCCCACTGCCTAAATGGGTTGCTGTCTCCAGCGGATGAGCATCGGAGTTCGAACTAGTGAGTTTTGGAGTGAGCCACAATTAGCTCTCAGGTCCGACCAAGCCGCCCCCCCCCCCAACTCAACAAAATGTATCTCTGATCAATTTGCAACCTATCAGTCAGCCCCCCCCCCCCCCCCCCCGAAAGATGCCTGAAATAAAGTCTGAATGTAACAGTAAGAACTACTTGCATGAGTTGAGACATTGACCAATATCTGTAGGCATTGACCAATATCTGTAGACATTGACCAATATCTGTAGACATTGACCAATATCTGTAGACATTGACCAATATCTGTAGACATTGACCAATATCTGTACACATTGACCAATATCTGTAGACATTGACCAATATCTGTAGACATTGACCAATATCTGTAGACATTGACCAATAGCTGTAGACATTGACCAATATCTGTAGACATTGACCAATATCTGTAGACATTGACCAATAGCTGTAGACATTGACCTATACCCACCCACGCTACTTCCTCTGATGAGGTCTGTGAGAGGAAATGACGTGACCGATGTATTTTACCTGAAGGTCAAGTTTGTCCTCGGCCACTTGGAACTGCCGGTGGTGTATCGCCTGAGCCGTATGCGGTAGTCATGCTCTCCCTTGGGCTCCTCCACAAAGTCGTCCGTGTTCCCACACCTGGCCCGGCCCATCAGCACCTGAGTTCTGTGGTCAATCACACCTGTCTCAGGTACACCGCCTGCCTGCAGGGTGGACAAAGGTCAATTGACAGGTGGACACACATTGACAGGTTACACACGCTGGTAACATTGACAGGCCAACAAAATGTGTACAAAATGTGTACATCGTGTATAGCGTACAACAATCAGACCTAAGAGGACTCAATTCTATTGTGTCTATTGGCTTTCAGACCTAAGTGTATTTGACTATATCCATGCCCTGTCCCTGCCCTGTCCTGTCCGTGCCCTGCCCTGTCCGTGCCCTGTCCCTGCCCTGTCCGTGCCCTGTCCCTGTCCGTGCCCTGTCCCTGTCCGTGCCCTGTCCCTGTCCGTGCCCTGTCCCTGTCCGTGCCCTGTCCCTGTCCGTGCCCTGTCCCTGCCCTGTCCGTGCCCTGCCCATGCCCCTGTCCCTGCCCATGCCCTTGTATCTACTCACCTTTTGCAGTGCCTTGATGGCCTTCTTGAGGTCATCTTGACTCATCAAGTTCTGTGTCTCACGTGATGGACCTTTCAGGTAACCAAACTGTCCCAGGTATTTCTGAGGACAGACCAGTGGTCAAGGTTAGCCCAACAGGACATAGAGGACATTGAATCACACATACAAATAGGACCGGACATTCAACTTGCACAATTGTAGATAGTGGTGCCACTAATGTAATTGATAATCTTTAATTAAAAGCATTTTTAAAAAAAGGAATATTATACACACGTACACACACACACACACACACAGACACACACACACACACATATATATATATATATATATATATATATATATATATATATATATATATATATATATATATATATATATATATATAGGCCTATATATGTATGCATATATGTGTGTGTGTGTGTCATTTTCTGGTTAAGAGAAGTTGGTGAAAGTGGTGTGTGTAAAATTTTTAGGTTAAGCTCACAAGGCTAGAAAAGGAAGTTAATTAAGTTGAGAGAGTGAGGGAGCAGTAATTAGCCATGACCTAATTAGATGGCTGGAAAGTTTTGGACTTTCGCTCTGATCTGATTGACTGTCGCATGCTAACAATTGTTATATACACACTGGGGCACACGATATATGACTGGGGCACACGATATATGACTGAGGCGCAATACTTGCAACGAAATGGAAACACAGCGAAAAGATAGTAGGAAGTACAGGAGAAATAATTTAAAAAGCAGTAGAAAGTAGCCGGGAAACACAATACAAACACAGAAGAAAGTAGCCGGGAAAACACAATACAAACACAGAAGAAAGTAGCCGGGAAACACAATACAAACATAGAAGAAAGTAGCCGGGAAACACAATACAAACACAGAAGAAAGTAGTCGGGAAACACAATACAAACACGGAAGAAAGTAGTCGGGAAACACAATACAAACACAGAAGAAAGTCGGGAAAACACAATACAAACACAGAAGAAAGTTGTCGGGAAACACAATACAAACACAGAAGAAAGTCGCCGGGAAACACAATACAAACACAGAAGAAAGTAGCCGGGAAACACAATACAAACACAGAAGAAAGTAGTCGGGAAAACACAATACAAACACAGAAGAAAGTAGTCGGGAAACACAATACAAACACAGAAGAAAGTAGCCGGGAAACACAATACAAACACAGAAGAAAGTAGCCGGGAAACACAATACAAACACAGAAGAAAGTAGCCGGGAAACACAATACAAACACAGAAGAAAGTAGTCGGGAAACACAATACAAACACGGAAGAAAGTAGTCGGGAAACACAATACAAACACAGAAGAAAGTCGGGAAAACACAATACAAACACAGAAGAAAGTAGTCGGGAAACACAATACAAACACAGAAGAAAGTCGCCGGGAAACACAATACAAACACAGAAGAAAGTAGCCGGGAAACACAATACAAACACAGAAGAAAGTAGTCGGGAAAACACAATACAAACACAGAAGAAAGTAGTCGGGAAACACAATACAAACACAGAAGAAAGTAGCCGGGAAACACAATACAAACACAGAAGAAAGTAGCCGGGAAACACAATACAAACACAGAAGAAAGTAGCCGGGAAACACAATACAAACACAGAAGAAAGGGAGGGCCTATTGACTGGCACTTGACCAAACTAAGAACGATAATAGATAGAAATCTGCAACCGGGAAAAGAAGCGAGTTATCGTTCGTGTCAGACGGAAACCTCTTGAGGAGGCAGAGAGTTTGTCTTCACCGGAAGTGGCTTGAGAGTCCGTCATAGGGCGTCACTGGCGGGCGTCACGTGGCACATGGCTTCACGTGTCAGTATCTGGCCAATGCTGACGTCAAAGGGGACATTTGGTTTTTAGAAGCGGGCAAATCCGTTTTAAAACGTCCAGAATGTAGACCAATGTTTGTAACGACATGGAGAGGAGATGTACGGCCCATGATTGAATAAAACAATTTGAATGGTTTCATCCGGTTATCTCCCCTGGCCGGCTCTATCACGTGATCAGCTCAATCGCGCGTGATTTCGTCCCGCCCAGCAGCCATGTTGGTTTTATAGCGCGACTGTCTGTCTAAGGGACGTAATCGGAGGCCCGCGAGCAAAAATCTCAGCCAAATTGGAACAAATTGTACAAGTTCCTCTGGCGGTTCAAACCATTTTGTGGGGTACGGATATAGCCCCCACCCCCTCCCTATTCAATGACGTCATGTTTGGACAGTCACATTTCGGACAGGAAATCAATTCAAGGGTTCAAAGGTCAATGATTGTCTAAATTCTGCTCAGGAAAAATTGGAAGATTTGTGGGTTGGGATTTGGTGGGTCGGGAAAGGGAGGAGTGGGGACGGACGGGGTTGTATGTGGTTGTTGGCAGATTGGACATTAGTCAAAAACTGGCTATGTGCTGGCTTGTTCTTTGAGACCCCCCCCCCCCCTCTGCCAGACCCCCGAAGATTTAAAACAGGGATTGGTACCACCAACTTCTAAAGACAAATAACAGAACTGACAAGCGTAATGGCCCATGTATAAGGGGAGGTCAATCCCCCTAGATTTTTTTATTTCTGGTAGAAAATATTGGCCAGGGTTATCGGGTCTGACAGTGAAACATTGCAAATGGAGGCAATTTCGACACAAGTTAGAATTGAGTGATTGTCTCCCTTCCGTTCTGTTGCTAAGGGCGGTAATTTCCAGGGAGATAAAAATGTTTTTACACTTTTTTTTAGTGAACAAATAATGGCGCACAAGTAGCACCGTGAATACTTGAAGGGTCGAAGGGAAACAATCCATGATATTTTTACAACTTAACTGAAACATCCATGGAAAATAAGGGCATTTCTAGCTATATACTCTCTCTCTCTCTCCTTCACACACAACCACTCTCACCACAACCACACAAACCACAGACACATATATTATTATATATTACATTTTCCAATAGGTATATTCAGGTAGATAATCCAGTAACTCCTGTTTTTGCTACAATATTCATTGTTATTTCCCTTAGGTAATTTCCTCCATTTATTTATAAAAAAATATGGGTTGAGGTTGAGCTCGGATAGCTAAAGCTCATAGTTACTACACAGAAAAGAACCGAGATCAAACCCCCGGGAGATGAGGCTATAGATATCCAACTGTAGAAACCCTCTGGTATTCAGACAGTGATTGGACTCCATCGGCTGGCCCAGCATGTAGACAGCTGTCCCCCCCCCCCCACACCACCACCATCCCCAGCATGTAGACAGCTGCCCCCCCCCCCCCCCACACACACACCACCACCATCCCCAGCATGTAGACAGCTGTCCCTCCTCCCCCCCCCCCCCACCCCCACCATCCCCAGCATGTAGACAGCTGCCCCCCCACCCCCATCATCCCCAGCATGTTGACAGCTGCCCCCCCCCCACAACACCACCAGCCCCAGCATGTAGACAGCCAGCACATTATCATCAGCTGTGTGGGGGTGAAGTTTTGTTGAAGTGGACCATTTAGTTTGTACTGTACACATGGACTTAGTGAAGCAACAAAGTTTTTTAGTCACGTGGTTTGACCAAAATGTGTCAAGGTCATCTAAAACCTCGACCCCAGGTTTAGACGACCTCGTATATAGACACGTGACATGATTAGATTAACCGGCAACTGCCGGCTGGAAAACAAAATTAACAGTGTGGGGGTGGGGGGGGGGGGGTGGGGGGGGGGCATTCAATTTTATCTTGGTATCAAGACCCAGAGGTACACCGGCCGGGGATGGGGAGTGGTGTTTATACACAGAGTGGGAAGAGGGGTCTTAATGCCCGGGGGTCGTACAGCCGGGGGAGAGGATCCTAACTGGATTTGTCGCTACACTATGGGGGTCAGGGGGAATGGAACAGTTAGGTCCCGTTCTAATCACATTTGAACATCTCTGATAGCCGGCTGTGTTAGAGGTGGTAGAGACTAAACCCCACACCATCATCCTACACAAACACACCACACCATCACCCCACACCATACCCCCCCCCCCCCCCCCCCACGCTACACACCTGCCTGCTACCCTACTCCCGCTGTGTGGGTCCGGTGAACCGAGTCGTCACCCACGTCACGGCTGACTGCCTTTGTTCTGGGACACCTGCCGTGACGTCATCACGAGTGCAGCAGATCTGGCGCTTAGACAAAGATTCTTTAGGGTCAAGGACGGTCGTGCGAGTCATGCGTGCTTTGTTGAGCAGACGATGAGCCGTGTCGTGCACACACAGACCCAGCAGGCTCACCCCGATGTGGGGTTTGATGGAGTGTGCGAGTGTGTGGTTTGTGGGAGTGTGTGGTTTGTGGAAGTGTGTGGTTTGTGGGAGTGTGGGGTTTGTGGGAGTGTGGGGTTTGTGTGGTTTGTGGAAGTGTGTGGTTTGTGGGAGTGTGGGGTTTGTGGGGTTTGTGGAAGTGTGTGGTTTGTGGGAGTGTGGGGTTTGTGTGGTTTGTGGAAGTGTGTGGTTTGTGGGAGTGTGTGATGTATGGGGGGGGGGTCATATATAGTTCGAACTAGAATTATCTAGATCTATGTTATTATTATTTTGATGTGAAGAAAAGGGAAGCAATTCCCACGCTAAGCAACTAAAGATTTGTTTCACGTTTGTGATTTTGTAACGTAGGTGTAGCCGTCCCATACATCTCATGAGTCGCCGACTACACGGCGGGTTGTCTACACGACAACCCAGCCAGACGGGGGTTGTCTAACAAACAACTGGAAGCGATGGAAGTCGTGGCCAGATTTTGTTCACTTTTTGATTTGATATAATAAGGTTGCTTCCCTTAATTTGATATAAGATTGCTTCCCTTGATTTGATATAATAAGGTTGCTTCCCTTGATTTGATATAATAAGGTTGACCCCCTTGATTTGATATAATAAGGTTGCTTTCCTTGATTTGATATAATAAGGTTGCTTCCCTTGATTTGATATAATAAGGTTGCTTCCCTTGATTTGATATAATAAGGTTGACCCCCTTGATTTGATATAATAAGGTTGCTTTCCTTGATTTGATATAATAAGGTTGCTTCCCTCGATTTAATATAATAAGGTTGCCCCCTTGATTTGATATAATAAGGTTGCTTCCCT